CAAAATTAAAATGGACTGTAGGAAAGTATGTGTTTTGTTGCTGCCTGTGTTGTGGAAATTATCTTTTTAAAAACAGAACACACAGAAGTGGTTTCATTTCAGCAAAGATTAATGATTTGTACCAAAATTTCTATTCCAAGTACCAAGTAGAATATATTTCATCTTGTTTCCAAAACATGATCCTGACACTTACACGCTGTGTGGCCTAAAGCCCATCCCTCTTTAAGCCTTAATTTTATCATCTATAAAATAGGAATACCACCAATTTGCTAGTTTCTCCAAGTTTCCATGGTCTCCAGAATAGTGAAGTCCAAAGTTAAAAATCAAGAAAGTATTAAGTTAATCCAGAAGCTGTTCTGTCAAAGCAGCATGCCACCCATCACGTTGTAATGACAGCATCTTAGCATTTTAGGCTGTCATCAGTACCTTCAGGAACAATCACACTCAAGACCTTAAATAATTCTGCAGTCTCCAATATGTCAGATTTTATCTGTTTCTGAGTCCTTTAATTTTGATTCTTTATGTTCAAATCTCTTAACAAGCTCTTGGTTCAGTTCAGTCCCTAATAATGATACCACATGTAGTATCGTGCAAAAGGCTTCAGTATAGCCAGGGAGCCCATTTCTCTGGAAAATTACTGAAGTATATCAAACTATCTAAAAATCCATTCCTGAAATGCAAATACTTGCTTTGGATTTCACCACACAGAATGGCATGTATTTAAAACTTATTAATTGCTTATCTCTGGAATTTTCCATTTAATATTTATGGACTGCATTTGACTACAGTTAAAGAAGCCATGGAAAGCAAAACCACAGATAAGGAGGGATAACTGCACACACACACACACACACACACATTCACCGGGGGTGCAAGTTCTTTTGAAGTAATAACTATTTTATCAGTAGGAGAGAGAGCACTCCATTATCCATTATGGGCCCAAAAGGTCTGGCTCAACTGACTTATAATACAAAATACAAAGAGCATAATAAAAAAAACTGATATCCTATCTCCATTCTTCACAATGTTGGGAGTGGGGGTGGGAAATCTAGTTTTCCATGATTTGAAGAGTTACAGTTTAACAATCTTATTTGTTTCTCAAAAGCCTGTGATACACACCACTGAAGAGGTTGTCAACCATTCCCTTTCTGAACTTAATACTCCCTATGAGGAGAGGGTTCTCAGATATACGGAATGCTTTTTACCCTTTAACCCACTCTCCTGTACTGCTGGAAGTAAAACAATCATCTCACTACATTCCTTCTCTCTGTCTCTCTCTTGTCTTTCTCTCACACACACACCCCATAAACCTTTGTGTGGATTTCATATTAGCACTACTAATATATTAATATACATGGTGTAGAAAATGTCTGCAAAAAGGTCCAAGAAAAATAGCATTGCTTTTGGAGAAAGTGCTATGGTCAGGATGATGTCATTGAAACCATCTAATGAATTTCCTGTAGCCACATCCTAAAGAAAATCCAGAAGGCTCAGTTTTCTTACAAAGTCGAGTAGTCTTTTTTTGGGGGGGTCAGTAACTGTTCCTGTAAACCTACAGGCATCATCAATTGATAATGATTACGATTTACCTTTAATCTTCAATATCACAACAAATGAATTTTCATTTTAAAGGTCTTTTATGTGGGAGGCATTATCAGAATATTAAATGTAAATTTTAGATTTTAATTACTGACAGCAAAGTAAGTGCAAAAAAAAAAAAAAAAAAAAAGGGTAAGCTGTTGACACTTACTACTGGGCTTCATAAACTTCTTCCACAGCCCGGAGCAAAACAAAGACCGCCATTCATAAGAATGAAGGAGAGGCAAGCACTCTTTACCCACAGTAAGCCCTCAATGTTTTCCTCCAGGCCGAAAAGCATTTATCAGCACTGGACTGGAACACTACAGGAGGTTTGCCAGAAGATTTGAGCTCCTTGAGGGCAAGAACAATGGCATATTCATCTTTTTTGTTGTTGTTGTTAATCCTCACTCGAGGACATTTTTCCATTTATTTTTAGAGAGAGTGGGAGAGAGAGGGAAAGACAGAGAGAAACATCTATGTGAGAGAAACACATTGATTGGTTGCCTCTTGCACGAGCCCTGACCAGAGCCCCGACTGGGAAGAAGCCTGCAACCAAGGTATGTGCCCTTGACCAGAATCAAACCAGGGACCCTTTGGTCCACAGGCCAATGCTCTATCCACTGAGCCAAAGTGCTAGGGCATGGCATATTCATCTTTATACTCAAAGTCATTATAGCACCTGAAACAGAGTAAACACCCAGTAAATATATGTTGAGTAAATGGATAAATGAATGAATGAGAATATAAAAATTCTCCTTTCCCTCCAGATGCTGCCAGTTAAACAATGGGGAGATCACCATTACAAACAAGTAAACAGTAAGTGCAACTGAATAATGCGAAATAAAAGTCATAAAGGAGTTTGGCCTTTATTCTGGAGGCAACAGAAAGCTGTCAACGGCTTTCAAGCAGGAAAATTACATGACCAGAACAAATTTTAGAAAGTCATTGACTGGATAGAGAAGAAACTAGAATCAGGGGAGAGTTCAAACAGATTTCACAAATTAAAATATTTACATATTCCAGTGTGACATATACCTTTTTCTTTATTTTTTATTAAAGCTTAAACATCCCTTATGCTGCTGCTGACATAACTTGGTACAACTAGTCTGGAAAGCTCATAAAATCTAATATATCTAAATATATGTGTGACCAAACACTTAACAGATCTAGTGCTGATGACTATCAAAAGATCTATATATATAAAAGCCTAAGTGACCAGCTGACCATTCAACCAGCAGACCAGTAGCTATGACGCACACTGACCACCAGGAGGCAGATGCTCAATGCAGGAGCTGCGGAGCTGCGGTGACTTGGTAGCTGTGGTTCTTGGGTGACGCACCCGGAACCAGAGAGGAAGGAGCCTGATTCCAGGGTGTGTCACCCAAGAACTGCCCTCTCGCAATCCGGGACCACTCGGGGGCTGACAGAGAGCCGGTTTCGGCCCAATCCCCACAGGCCAGGCTGAGGGATCCCACCGGTGCACAAATCCATGCACCGGGCCTCTAGTATATGTATAAAAATGTTTATAACAGCTTTTCCATAATAGCAAAAAATTGGAAAGAACTCACATATTCATCACACTAAGAAGAGTTATGTAATTTTAAGGGTCAACATTACCGAGTAGCCAAGCCAAAGTTCAAGTCCAGGTTTGTCTAATACCTAAGACCACACTCTCAACCAGTTGAAAGAAATTACTTTTGGCAGCAATTTCAAGCTACTCTCATAGTCCCAAATAGTAGACACCATCTCTCCCTTGCTTGTAGGAGAGTTTTGAAAAGTGTGAAAAGTCCTGAGAGAAAGCTACTTACTGCCAATGTCCAGGGAAAAGATGGCAGAAGGGAAGAACCAGAAAAGAGATTTCTATTATAGAAAAAGGAGAATGCAATAACAATCAAACATGAGAGTGAGGTAGTGGGGGCAATAGAACAAGTGTGAATATAGAAGTAGGTACTGATTGAGGACTAGATCAAGAACACTGAATTGAAGGTGAGTGTCCAAGAAGCAGTTGAATAAAGAAATATGCAGCTCAGGAGAGAAATCAGACTGATAAAAAAAAACTTCAATCATCAGCATATTTGCATATCAGATTTCCTGAATGTCTCTAGTATAGTATAATTTATGTATTCTTCTGACAATTAATATTAGCTCACAGGGAGGACTCCATGGACACCTGAAATTAATTTTGAAGCCATTAAAGCAGATAAAAAGTTAGAATAAAAAATCTTATGGAGAAGGTATCACTTCCCCTGTTATGTATCTGAGTTATCACATTTTAAAAAGCCACACATATTGCTCTTTAAGGTAAATAGACAAAGTGTTTTCAGGCTGCTATCTTGCTACTGGGGAAAAATTTTTAAAGGTATTATAGCCAAAGATGTAAGAGGCAGAAAGACGCAGCTTGGTATTCTCACCAGTCATAGTATTCACAGTGGTTAATTTTTACTTCAAAAGGCAGTTTCCCGTATTTTATTTCAATATCAAAATAGAGTCGACCCTTCAACAACTTGGGTGTAAACTTTGGGGGTCCACATGCATGTGGATTTTTTCAATAGAAATACAGTCAGCACTCAGCCTCCTGGGTTTCACATCAGTGGATTCAACCACCACAGATGGAAAATACTGTCTTTCTCAATCCCTGGATGGCGAGAGCTGGCTGTATGCCGTTCCTATGCCATTTTATGTAAGAGGCTTAAGCATCCACACAGGGGCTGCGGTATCGGTGAGTGGTGCTGAAACCAATCCCCTGTGGATACTGAAGGACAACTATAGTTACGTTTTTGGGGAGTCAAAAGTTCCATTCAGATTTCTATTGCAAAGGGCTAGGAAGCACTAGAGCAGGAATTTAAATTTGGATTTATCTCACCCAAAACCTCACCTCTTTCCACTCTGTAGGAACTTTCTCAGCATGTCACATCTACCAGATATCAAGTGCCTGAGAATATTACATTTCATTTCTCTAATAAAGACTAGGATGATATTTCTTTATCGCTACAATTCAGGTCTCTCAATCCGACTTAATATGCATCTACCACCTGAGTTAAAAATCTACCCAAGAAACCATGCGAAGGGTTTGCAGTAATAATGCTCCATCTCAAATAAAACGAAATGTGTGCTTCTTTAATTTAATGAATATATCATGATGATATATATTTTTGCTAATTTTACATATATCTACTCCACAGCACATTTGACTAGAATAAGAACAAGGCATTTGACCAAGCTGTTAGATCCTGAGGTCAGGGACCATGTCTTATTTCTCTCTATATCCCCAAGGCCAATACATGATAGATGTCCAATACCTGGTTGATAATGAAAGATAGAAGCCAATAACTATTCATTTATGAAAGTAATATTTTAAGGTACAGACTCCATGCTTAATAAAAACCCAAAAGGTTTTGGTCTACAGGTAAACTTCCTACCTCTCGATCCTTGAGTTTCATGGCGAGCACCAACTGATGCCTGTGGTTAGTGAGAGCCTCCCGGTAATTTCCTTTGGAGAAGAATGCAGAGCCTAGATTCCCATGAGCTCGGCATTCTCCTGTCTGGTCACCTGATTGGGTTTAAAAAAATATAAAACTTATTTTAGCTATAGCATTATTTTAATATATAATGGCCATCTTAATTTAAGAGCCACAGACCTACCTACTAGCTAAGATTTCACTTGCCTTCTTTTAGAAAGTATTTTCTTCTATAAGACTCTTTGTAGGAGGTTATGGTCCTAGAATTTACATCTCTGGCTAACAACTATTATTGTTGTCATACAACTGTAGTCAGGAAGGTAAGTGTCCTAGAAATGAGAGGTTAAAGACCTTGACACAAACCAGCTGCTGTTTGAGTCACTTCACTGCTCTGCTAATGATTTTTGGTTCTGAACAACCATCAGCTTGTTGGTTCAGTCATTTGACTCCAAACCTACTATAACATATTGCTTTTTACAAGTATGCTAATGGTAGAGTCACCATAGCCCTGCTTTTACTGCAATCCTGCAAGTCCTTGAATAATCACAATAACAATAATCGTAATCATAAGCCACACTTATTTTACAAATGAGGAAATGTCAGCACAGAGAGCTTAGGCGACTTGCTGAAGGTCAACCTGCTAGTAAGTAGCAAAGCCAGGATTCTAAACAAAGCTGTGTGGCCCCATAGTCCACACTCTTAACCACTGCACTGTTTTGTCTCCACCAATGAAATGATGACACATTCTAATGTAGACAAAAATTAAAATTAAGATGAAAGATTCACCCACCAGTACTACCATTTGGGATATTGTATCTGTGGACCCAAATCTCTGAGGAGAGCAATGAATATGTTAATTCACTATCTCTTGGCCTTTTGGAACCTTGGTACCTATTATACGAAAAGCCCTAAAGACCCTAAAATGGAGAATGTTCTAGAGACACATTCACTTTTTATTGCACGTGTTACTCCCATTTATGCCAGGTTAATCAGCGTATTCCTTTCTGTACTGAAGTAAAGGGGAGAAGCATAACTCTACCTAAGGTCTTGGCCACATCCAAGTCCTGCTGCATGTATCCAGTGCTCTTCTCTGTGTTTCCAAGAGACCAGTAAGCGCTGCTCAGGGCAGAGAAAACAGAACCTCTCAGCTTGAGGCTGCAGGTGCCAATCTTCAGAGCAGCTTCTAAGACAACCACAGAGGCCCCGTGATGGCCAGCTGTCAGGAGTTCCTGCCCAACCACAGACACGACCACAAAGGGACTCTTGTCCAGTTTCATTTTTTGAAGCTGCTGATAAGTGGGCTCGAGGGAGTCTGAAGAAAAACAAAAGAAAATTAGAAAATGTAGAAGAATACACAAAACAATATTGTCTAATATGCTCTAGAAAAAATGTTTATCATACCTCTTTATGGCCTATTTCAAGTACAAAGTCTTTGCAATGACAAAACAGATGGAGAGCAAGGGATAAATTTCAGACATTTTAGAAGGAAAAAATATTATAGAATTTGAGAAGAAAATGTATTTAATGTGCACAATACCTTATTCCAATGGGATGATACAAAGGACTGTCTCCTATGGATCACCTTCAAGGTAACTAACATTTTTATAGACTTCAATCTGTCCAAGGTTCTATAAAACATTCTAGAGCTTTCCAAGTTATCATTATAACAGTCCCCTAGCATATATGACTAAAAAGGACTCAACTTTCCTAAAAACTCTGGTGAACCCACTACCAATTATTCTTGGATACAACACTGAAATATAGTACTGAACTACAAGCCCAGAAGAATGGGAGAAACAATCCTGGAATGAATCCCCAGAACAGGGGTCCAAAGAGAGAACAACAGCTATTGGTAAGGTAAGAAGTAAGTGAAATATTATAAGGGTAAAATACTCCCCCCAGAAAAATAAAATTTAGAGGTAAGGTTCAAATATTCACCTAATTTTAATTTTTACCTTTATTAAGCTAATTCCTAAAAGAGGAGATTAAGTTAAAATCATTGGGCTTGTCACAAAAAGACAAATATTGTATGATTCCCCTTATTTAAGATAACTAGAGTAGTCAGGTTCAGGGAGATAGAAAACAGCCCAGTATTTGCCAGGAGCTGTGGGGAGAGCAGAATGGGAAGTTAGAGTTGAATAAGTTCAGAGAGTCAATTTGGGAAGATGAAAAAGTTCTGGAGATGGATAGTTATGATGGTTGCACAACACAGTAAATGGACTTAATGCCACTGAATTTCATAACTAAAAGTTGTTAAAATGGTCAATTTTATGCTACATATATTTTACAACAAGTAAAAAAACTTTGGTTCATACTAAAAAGCACAATTTAACCCTCCTCAAAAAAAAAAATCAAAATAAAAACTGATATGTTTCCCACTTTGTCTAAGTCACTTTACGTTTTACTCTGTGTATTTATTTATTATATTCTACTTCGTTCAGAAATTATTCAAAGGCTTTCTATAGAAGTGAGGTGAAAAACATAGAAGTCCAAGTGACAGGGAGACTCTAAGCCCCGACAACCCTTCCTAACGGTGGCCAGGACACTGGGCTCCAAGCTTCCCAGAGGATGAAGCAAAAGGTAAATGATCACTTTAAAATTTCCCAGACCTTTCAGATAAAAATACACCAACGCTCAGAAGAAACACAGCTCTTCCTGAAACTGAGGCCTCAGGGGAAGTGACAAGGACCACGAGCACTGTGCAGTGCTCACACTCATAGCACTGTGCCTGCCATGGAGACAAGAACAGGATCATTACTGCTGCTACTTCTGTTCCTCGGTGAGAAGAAGGGCAGCACGCTGCGGAGGAAAGGGAATGTAAAAGGTGTCTGCCTTTACATTCTCGGGTTTGAATCTCAAAACAACAGTAGGAGGGAGATGTTATCATTTCCCTTTTACAGATAAGGACTGAGGTGTAGAGGAAGTAAGCAACCTTGCTCAGTCAATGGAATAGCAAATGGCATTGCGGAAATGAGACGCCAATCCTTTTTGGGGAAAAGTCTTTATTTTTTACATAATATTTCAGAAAGAGGCCTCCTGTAAAAAGTAACTGCCTCCTAAAAGGAGGTTGGCCAATTAGGCAAATAAAAGGTGAGCCCCAATTTGACCCCAAGATAAAAGCTTATACATTCAACAGCCATTTGCCACCAGCACTTCATAAAATCAGCTTCCCTGGACCCTCTGGAGCTGGGGAAACACCGTGACAGTGATAGCCCATAAATGTAATAGTCTTTAGATTACCGAATTAACAGGAGGAGAGAAAATACACACAAGAGAACCCTTGGCAAGAAGCAGCCCTGGCATCTTTAAAAGAACAAATAAAGGTAAACTAAATCTCACTTTGTAATTATATTATTAAATCCATGGTTGGCAGTAGTTCTATGCTACACCATTTACAAAATACAATGAAGTGAAATTGCTGGAAGACTATCTAAAAAGGAGAAATGGAAAACAGTAACAGGGTAACTTGAGAAGTCATGACAAAGAGTATCATTTTATATTTACACTTATTTTTATATTTTCACTAATGATTTAAAGAAAATACATTATATATGATGTAAATGTAACCACAGGAGAAGTTGAACTGATATCTGGTATCTGGTTAGTGAGCATAAGTGAAACCATAAAAATAAAGAAAAACAGACTGAATTCAGTTAGCAATATTGGCAGCAACAATATAAAAACGTCAAGTAAATTTCAATGTGGATAAATATAACATTTATTTGAAAACAAGGGTATATTAATATAGTTTGGCCCTACCTTTTTAAAAAAAATGAAATCTTGAAACTTCTAAAAAAAAGGCCAAACCACAGGAATGCTACTATCACGGGAGCTTTGCTTGCTTACACAAGCACCTGGACTAGGGAGCTTTCTGTGTTGCATTTAAGAATTACAAAATGGAAGCAATTGACACAATAGATCGGACCTATATATAAAGTGACCCAACTGCACTGCTATGCAACAATGGCAGAAACTTAGAAAGCTGCAGGAGGCTAAACTAAAGTGGGTAAAAAAAAAAAAAAAAAAAGGGCAGCAAATAATGATAGAATTCGTGAATTACAACCATATGACAAAAAGAGAGGTAAGTCATTAAGATGTGAAATGATGCATAGAACAACACTGTGAAAAGCAACAGTATCCCTATAAAACGTTGATAAGAAAGCCCACCTGGAGTAGATACAGTGATAACGGCAATGCTAAAAATAAATGAGATAAATTAAACTGCCTCAAGGAAAAAGAAGAAAATGCTGAAGCGCTCCAGGCACCTGTAAGCTGCAGCTTGCTCCAGGGTCAGCCTCGGGTCACTCAGTGTACACGGGGAAAGAACATGGCGCCGAAAACCCTAAGGGTGACAACAGCACTAGCTGTTCCTCACTGTGCAGGGAGATTTCCTTACATTTATCTAAACAAATTGCTTCAAAGGCAAAACAGTAAGTATGATTCTGCTGATCTCAACATGTTCACTCCAATATTCTAAGGCAGCAACAGAAATGCTTCAAAGTAAAAAAGTGGTATCTTCATCAACTAAATAAAAATGTTCCATGTAAATTACTTGTGGAGGGGTGAAGGGAGAGAATGAGAAACTATTAGAGAAATGGAAAGGGGAGACAAATAGATTTTTTTTTTTTTTTGGTCCATACCTACCCCACCCCCACCCCTAAGCCCTGGAGCTCTGAAGCGCATCTGCTCTGAGTCAGAGTTTATTAACAGCGGGTCCCCCAGTGGGAGAAGCCATTAGGTTCCTGCAGCAAAGACTCGGCTTTGCATGGGGTTATAAAATCGCACGAAGAAAGGTTTCCTTACCACGTTTTTCCTAAAACATGAAATCTTTGACTTGCAGAAAAATATTTTTTATAGCTATGAATTGCCCAAAGACCATATAAGTAACATTTAGTTCATCAAATTTTTACTTAGCGTATATTTTAAACCAAATACTGTATTAGCCAGTATATTAAAACAATCTAATGCTGCAAACATTTTCAAAACTATAAAAAGGGTGTAATGAAACTGCCATCAACATGTTTAGGTTCACTCAAAAACATCCCTTTTCAGAGACAAAATATAGAGTTCTGCTTGACATAATCTAATTAATATGAAACAATACTAGCTTTCCACTCTATGCCATCAATATACCTTAGTGTCTCCATCATCTGCAAAGATGACAATTGGTGTACACTTTCAGCCCAATCTTCCTAAGAGCTCATTCCTCAAAAATCAATGTTCCTCAAAGTGAAGCCAATCTGTTCTGGGCCTTAGAACTTCTCTGTCCTTCACTATGTTCAATCCATTGTTTTTTTCAGAATACCAATTGGCACAAAGTAGAATTAACAGGAAAAAAAACACATTTAAACTAGTGTCTGTCAAGTTTCTCTTTTTCTCTCTTTCTTTTAAAAAACAAAACAAAACATTTGCATTGATTTCAGAGAGGGAGAGAGAGATAGAAACATCAATGATGAGAACCACTGATTGGCTATCTCCTGCACACCCCCTACTGGGGATCTAGCCCGAAACCCAGATATGTGCCCTGACCTGAATTGAACCGTGACCTCCTGGTTCATAGGTCAACGCTTCACCACTGAGCAACACCAGCCAGGCTCTCTCTCTTTTTTTAACTCAACATATCTTATAATGCTCCTCTGAAAAATGTTACACACAGCCCACAGTTAGATCCATAATATTAGAATGTCTACTTAATGTCTTCGCTTATTTGAATATTTCTAGATGGCATATTGGTCCAAATAAACAAATCAATTTACTACTAGAGGTATTATAACTTAGAGGTACAGAATCTTATAACTACAAAAACATGAGGAATCTTCAGATAACTCTGAAATACAGAGATGTCGATTCATTTACCCATGGTCATATAGTTAGTTAATGCAAAATTCGAAAATGTAATCTAGGTCCACAAACTTCTAGGCCAGTAGCCTTACACCATCCTATTCTGGTTCATTGTCTGCTACTGGCAGTGATTCTTGATCTCCTTTGTCTACAATATATAATCTCTTCTAGGGCTACTAAAATAGAAATTTACTTCTTGGAAATGAGCACAAAAATTTGAGAAAAAGCCAAATTTAACCAAGTTCTAAGAGCAAATTGTTACTATCTAAAAATGCTATTTTATTTCTTCTTCATGCTCTGAAATTTCTTTCCAGTAGGTAGATCTAGAGAAATAGGAAAAATCTGCCCTATTACTTATTTCCTAGAACTAAATTAAGGTTTAACTACAACACTGTGAGAGAATAATGGGAACTATCACTGACTTTAGACAAATGAACAAGCTGGCCATTGCTTTCAACAGTATATAAAAATCATAGTGTAACTTTTCTTTTTAATAAAGATAGTATCTTAATTTTAAAAATAAAAAATATACGATCTTAGCAAATTGATAACCTATCAATTCTCAATACCGGAATCTAAACTTTTTGAAGGCTAGAAATGTTCTACTTTAAATTAGTGCCAGACCAAATACTTTTATCATACTTACCTCTCATGGGAGATTTCATGGCAGCTTCTACCATCCCCACCAGAAGCTGGAGACTCTTGGGGTCCTGAGCCAGTCCAGATGCAAACGCTGCCAGGGCATCGGCATGACGTCCGAGGTACTGGAGGGCAACACCCTGTCGGAAGTATGCCTGAAAATGAAGAAAATATAATGCATGTTTGCTTATACATCATGCTCCACCAGGGCTGCTGCTGATTCTTTAGTAGAACAACAGATCAGTAGAACTATGATTGAGATGGTCTTAATTCAAAGACCTAGTAAATAGTTTGTAATCAAATCTGATCTCTTCCAATAACGTAAAATGTAAGCATACTTCTCTCAGATAAATTATAATTTATTCTTTTCAATTCTAGAACACATAAATTTTATCATATCCTTTGGCATTTATTCACATATTGCTTTTATTGTTTTTGATTATTTGAAAAATATTTCTTATCCCACCTTTAATAGCATAAGTTCCTGAAGGACAGGATTTTGGAGATTTCTTTATATCTCACCAAAGTAGGTGGTACAGTGCAAGACAAATGAGAGACACTCAAATTCCACTTATGGTATATTTTCTCCATTTATGTAATGAATGGGAAAAATAAATATGTGATTATTATTAAGGCAATCTTAATAGTGAGTAACATAACATGGTCATATCAAATGTAGTATTTCAGACATAATATTTAAAAGCTGTTATCTAAAATATATGTGCTTTGGTTAGAAACAAAATCAGATTGTTTTTGTATGCTTTAATTGGATTAGTTTTAAAGCTAGTATCATCAGTTGTTGATTGTAGAACATCCCTCCTTCTAGTAATTGAAGAAAGGGCCAAGAAGTTAATAAAATATTTGAAGTTCAGAATAGTCTTAAGGAAGTGAAGTTTGTTTTCAAGCACACAGAGTAAAAATAAGTAAATGAACAAAGCGTTACTAGTATTTAACCAGCAAAGGACCTTGTACCTGATTAAATAACACATAAAAATGACATATTAATTCATTCACTGTTTATGAACATCTGCTTCTAAAATATTTAGCCTCCTATGTAACTTCAACATTCTTACAATACCACATGCTTATAACACAATTTTGACTTTTCAGTCCAATATACTTTGAGTTGTCACAAATTGTATTCATGGGATCTAAATGAAGTTTCAAGTAACTTCTAAAGCTACTACTCACTAAACACATAATTTTATAATTTTATATGTACACGTACACACACAGAGATTGAGTGTGAGCACATTTAATGTTTACAAAACGTATTTCTTTACCTTATCTTATTTCATTTTTACAACTACCCTTTGAGATAATTTAAGATAGGCAATACTATTCAGTGTTTCTATTAAGAAACAACCCATAAACAGAATGAATACTCATAGATTATTACAGGCTATTCAGATTTCTATTTCAGTTTAAACTATCAGCAGCTGTTAAAACTCAGACCCCAGTGAGACACTAACCTATAAATGTGCTTCCATTACTAATTCATAAGATCACTTCTTTTCACTGGACTCAGCCACTGTTTCAACCTTTAATGTGTTTTATAGACATTTTTCACTGTCCTTTTCATTTCACATTTTAGGTGATTTCGAAAATCTGAGAGGCAATATATGCAACATTACAACTAAAAATAACTACAGTTTACATAGTTTTAGAAATACTATATTAAAGCCAAATTAAAAGAATTTAAATTTATTTATATAATATATACATGCCAATTACCTGTACACTATAATTATAATTTATGGAAAGAGACAAAAGATGTTTTTAGTTACTGATATTTTTTAAAAATGTATGTGGCAATCATTTGACAATATATGTAAGTCAAATCATTATATTGTATAACTTAAATCTATTCAATGCTGTATGTCAGTGGTATCTCAATAAAACTAAAAATAAACAATAATCTTAATAGCAATGGATTTTGATAATTTCTTACATATTTAGAGCAAAATTTTATCATTCATTACTTCACTGAGAGAATTGATTTTCCTGCCTGCCAACAGAAATCATTGAAAAATGTGATATATCTACTTTTTAGTTGGGCAAAGTTGTGTTAAAGGCCAGTCGTGATATCAAGTTCACACAGCAGTTAAAGAACAGTGTGCACATTTGGTTCCTTAAGACACTCAATAATTACATGAAAAAGGTATGACTGGGCCATGTCACCCACAATCCTGGCTTCCTTTCTTTGGGGGAGGATTTTGAAAAGAGGTATAGAAGGCTTTCAAAGGTCTCCCTTAGTCCTCCCTCATTCCCTTCCACAATCGCTAACCCAACTTCACACAATTTTTCTCAGTCACAAGCTTAGTTTATACCCCTGCCAAGACAGCATAATAAGTCAAGCTCTGACAAACCCCTGCTCCTAACTCAGAGTGGGGCTCTCCCAACTGTGCTCCATGCACTATTCACTGCATGTACAAACAGCTGAATAGAAATCAGTTTTTGATACTTTTGTGAGAGGTACGCCACTATCAAGTTCAAGTGGATGATAATATGACCTAGATTGTGGGTTCATGTAATAGAATAAAAAGAATTCATTCAGCACAGTGCCTGACAAAAGTATTCAATAAAATTAGCTATTTTGATTATTAGTTAAATAAGAAAAGAATCTTACTAAGAACACATAATTACAAACTAACAGAATGTAAGGAATCCAACAAGTATTTTACTATGCAATATATTATTCAATTCCTATCATGGCTTCATTTGCTCCTCTCCTGGCTCCATAAAAGACTACTGGCAACTGGGAAACTCATTGCCGTAAGGCTCCCAGACAAAAATCTGAGCTACCCAACAAGAAGAAACTGGCACTCAGGTCTTGGGAGATGCAGCAGCCACCCACAGGGTCCTCTGTCAGCCTCTTCCAAAGCCAAAGGGAAAATGTGCTGAGATTCACAGCTGCTTCAAGAAAACGGATGTAACCTGCTATCGCCTATCTGCCTCACCCCTATTGATTCCTGCTACTAATTTCTCTCTTCCTCAGAATCAGAGGTCTCACAGGAAGCTGCTTCATCTGGGAAAGGGGACATTTTTGATCACTTCGGATTGAGCAGAGGCAATATATGTGCATCATGCTGAAGGAAGCAATATTAAACACTCGGTGCCCAGCCAACCTCAGAAAATCTATTCCCCTGCCTAAGCGCCCCTCCCCCGACACATACACCACATTCTGGTCACTGGTTACCTCGCAGATGGAGGAGGAAGGGCAACATGAATTGACTATAAGAGCACCTGTGCCCTGAGAACAACGGTTTTGACCTGAAGCTTTGGCCAAGAAGAGAAATGTATAGGGAGCTAGTTAACATACTGGACTAAAGGTAGATTTTTCAAGTGTTGCACAGTCATTCATTTATTTTTTGTTGTTCCCTACAAAGAACCCTCAGTGATTATTCCACACATGCTACTAAACTATCACCTCACAAATACAACTGCGTTACAAGAATAAGTTCATTCCTTCCTTCAATTAATATTCCCTAAAAATCTACAGCACCAGGCACTATAAAACAGAGGACGCAGACTCTCAATGTGCTCACAATCTAGAAGGGAAGAATATAAACAGCTATAAATGTCTTGACTGCTACCTGTAGAGCTGCTTACTAGTGAGATTTTGTAATACTTAAGCAGTAATAAAAATGTAACAAATGACTGAAGTATTTATGCCCTGTTGTTAAAACTGCTAGTATTTGTTCTTTATTAAGTGGCCATTCTTCTCACCTCAGAGAGTTTGCCATAGATTAAATGTTTGTGTCCTTCCAAAATTAGTATGTTGAAACCTAATCCTCCATGTAATGGTATTTAGGGCTTTAGGGGGGATTAGGTGATGAGAGTGGAGCCCTCTGAATGGGATCAGTACTCTTATAAAAGAGACCCCAGAAAGCCCTCTCTCTCCTTCCACTATGTAAGGACACAGCAAGAAGATAGCTATCTATTAACCAGGAAAATAGCCATCTATTCACCTCACCAGACACCAAATATGCCATCAACTTAATCTGGGACTTCTCAGTTTTCAGAACTGTGAGAAATAAATGTTTGTCATTTAAGCCACCCAGCCTATGATATTTTGTTGCAGCATTCCTAAAATTCTAAGACAGGGTTAAAGTAAAAACACTCAGAGACTAAACATGTGAAAGAGGAAGCTCTTCACTCTTCAAGAACCACTGGAAACAATGAAGGACCTGTAAGTCTTTATTTACAACACTCCATTCCTGGTTCACAATTCTAACACATCACTCAACCTAAAATCCTACTCTTACCTGGCTCAAGTAACTTATGAGGTAAACCACTACCATAGGTATGCACATATATTTATAGCAAATGTAATATATAATAACATTTAAATTAAGAGTATTCATTTACATGTACAACTCATAGTCTATTACTTAATCCAAGCATTTACAAATATTGTGCCTTCGATTTAATCTATACTTTCAAATTTTATATTTTAATGTTCCCAACCTGTCTTTCACTGTTAGAATTTCAACTTTTTTTTACATCTTCTGAAGAATAAACATCTATAACTATAACACAGTGATATACCTGCGAGCCAATCACATCACCTGCTACCACATCATCTTTTTAAATAATGTTTATAAATTAAAAACTACTTTACTGAATTTCCCTTATTTAATTTAAAAATGCCAAATGGGGACAATAGAAATGCTGATACTAGTTTTTAAAAAGCAGCAGCATTAATCTATAATTTAACACAACTGGGTCAAAAATGAAAATGATTATAGGATGTCAAAAGCACAAAACCTTTGATATACACAGAACAACTAACTAGACTCCAGTCATGATAGAAAAGAATAAAATGAGAGAATATATAAAGAAAATGATTCGCAAAAGAAAAGGCACAATTTGAGATTTTAGTTTTAGTTCTCTAGTAATTAACACCCCGACTCACTGAACATGTCAATATTTTCTTTAATATTTTCATATATCTGACTTTCATATACTTTATAAGGAATGCATTCATTGCATAGGAAAATAAAGGACAGTTGGTAGTGCTTAAAACAGATATCTAACATGTGAGTACATATATACATATTACCTCTATAAAATTTATTAGATATTACAAATTATACATTAGATCACATAAAAATGTGAAGTGAATCCTGTGCTTTAAAAAATGTGGCATAAT